AGTTTTATGACATCCGGGGATATGTGAAAGGACAACTAGGGAAGACGCTGGATTAAAACAAGAGATTCGACAATGCCTCATAAATATCAACGGCTACCTACTAGTTAACTTACCGTATCTAGGACAACGACCGGTTTGTTATCCAAACGCTTGACGACGAAATATGTTTTAATGACTAAAAGGAGGAAAAGGTAAACAAAGAGGTAAATAACAATCACTATATACTAACAGTCGTTAAATCAGTTGATGATCAAACATTCTTAACGCGTAGCTACCAAGGATTTGACTGAAGCAATTTCGACAGATGATATGCCAGGTTGTGGTAATCACGCAATTAACAAAGAAATGGACCTAGAAGGTTAAGTCAAAATGCACTTCAGACGGCATCTAACGAGCGCTGGAAAGGACCGCCACAAGACCTCCCAGGTAGCTGGGGCTGCAAACATGGCTCAGTTAGATTAGCTGTGACCTTACGATGTCCCCGTGAAAACCTTCACCCAGGTAACAGCATCGTGTTCAGCAGGAATTGGCCGCATAAATAGGATAAGGCTGACTTGTATGGCCGCCTAAAAGGACACAGGAATAGGAGCGTCCTGTCTACTTAAAATGGGCGGCCTAGCAATAAATTTAAGGAGGGATAAATACAGTTCTGCGAATCCTGCAAACAAATTTCAGGACGAAATGTAGCTTGGTAGTTTAGCGTATATCTGGACAGGTTATTTTGATCAACTGGGTGGATTTAATAATAAGAAGCGCTTTGGTTTGCAAAACTGCCCTCTTATTTAAATTTATTGGGGGGAAATAGGCTCTCATTTTTGCTACATCATGAGTATGTTTATATAAAAGGAATTTCGTATGCTATAAGGAAAGACAGGACGAAACTTTTTTCTAATATAAATTGTGCTGTGGAAGAATTCCATAATTAGTAAAAAAAGGTGGGGTAATAATCCCTTCCAGTACTGGCAAATTTTGTGCGAATTCGATCAAATGGAACTAAAGCGAACTTTAAGGAATCGCATTTATTTACGGAAAAAAGCAGTGATAGAAGTTTTAAAAATTATATTTAGCTATTCTGTGAATTTTTTTGCACAAAATGCAGTAAAAAAGTTTTGTCACGTTTTGTTTAAACCTCACCCCTGACCTTGCACATAACCAAACC